TAAATACTGACCCTAATAAAAGCTTTCACTGATCCACATACAACATCTCATCCTTTTCTCAAAATTCCAGGGTAAAGAATTAGGAACAAGATAAGGTAATAAAAAATATACAGCGACTGACAAATTGCTAAAGTTAATTTTTGCTTATGCTAAAAAGATCTTTTTTGTATAACAGGTCAAACAAAGAAAATCCTCGCACAGTAACAAAAAATGCGGAAACTAGGAAAGATCATAAGAAAAACGTATAATAGGACAATTGAGATAGGATATGATTCTTATAATGGAATTATGAATAGTACACGAGTCATACGATTTCATTTATCCACTCATAATTAAGGGATATTAGCAGTATTTATCATTTAATTTATCGGTACAGAGTTGTGAAGATTGTTGAGTTTTAATTGAGATCATGAACAGACCAATATTAGACCACCATTGGAAACCTGGAAGGCCGCTTCGTCCTTGTATGGGACTTCTTAGCAAAGCGCATCCATTATTCCGCTCACGGGACTCGAGCTCGGGACCCGGTCTGGCGCGCGAACGCCTGACTTCCAGACCACTTAGCCGGGATCCGACGCTGTTTTTGTCGAAATACAACCAGTCCATGATATTGAGTAGCCATCTTCCATTGTCTTCGATGAGTAAATACCGCACACCCGACACGGCTTAACTCTACTGGTGACGGCTTCTCACTAGAACTCCAAGAATAACCTCTCAAGGCTGGTCACTAGCGAACATGTGATAATTATCAGTATAGGGTTGTGGAGATTGTTGAGTTTTAATTGAGACCAAGGGTTGGATGCTGGTTCAGTGGTCTAGAGGTTGATCTTTCGCGCTTGAGGCAGGGGGTTCTGGGTTCGAGTCCTGTGTACGGGATCGTGGGTGCGCTACGACGAAACGACCTTCCACTGCTTCCAGGTTTTCAGTGGTGGTCCAATATTAATCTGTTCATGATCTCACTTAATTTATTATTATTAATCAGTTTGAACTTGTATGTATCTTCTGTTTTTAGGTAGATTTTTGATTATCTTTTAGTTGATTTTAGCATGTTTTATTGTATCTCATTCAATAGATTTAATTCATACGGGGTTTTCTGCGTATCAAATTGATGTAAATTCATGTAGTAGGCATCAGAATCAATTAGTCTATTAATGGGTTCAGTACTTACTGTTGTCCAGTTTATTCATACATAGACATATCTTTCTTAGGCACTAGGTGCATAAATACAGATCTCTGTAGTGTGATTGACTGACTTTTACTTAATCGCAAATGTGTTGTTCGTAAGTCAGAGATAAGAAAACTGCATCTGGGATGGCTAACTCGATCGATTTGGTGCAGTTAATTCTTTCATTGAAATGACATTAAATTAATACCGTCTTGAACTTAGTATTCCGTCATGCATAATTTTCCACTCTATCTTTTAAACTGTATTCTTATTGCTCAGTATTTTTCATTATCATTGCGACTATATTATTTCGATTTCTTTTGCTATTCATTTTATTAATTTCATTTTATTGTGTTAACATGTTATGGCGAATTGGGGCAGCGCGCATCTATATCAGACTCTACATTGACTGATGTGGTATGAATTTAACTGACAATGTGTGAACGACGTAATAGCTTATAAAGATAGTCCAAATTTATTATTTATAAATGTCGATAGATGTCAGTCACCTACAACGTAGGATCAGGGACATACGTGCATCGGTCCGAGTTGCCATACCTCATTAGCACAACAAGATGAACACCGAATTTATAGAAGTAATTAATTCAGTGGTTACTTACTTACTTACGCCTGTTACTCCCAATGGAGCATAGGCCGCTGACCAGCATTCTCCAACCCACTCTGTCCTGGGCCTTCTTTTCTAGTTCCATCCAATTCTTGTTCATTTTTCTCATGTCTATCTCCAATTCTCGGCGTAATGTGTTCTTTGGTCTTCCTCTTTTCCTTTGATCTTCAGGATTCCATGTGAGGGCTTGTCTTGTGACGCAGTTGGGTGCTTTCCTCAATGTGTGTCCTATCCACTTCCAGCGCTTCTTCCTGATTTCTTCCTCCACTGAGATCTGGTTTGTTCTTTCCCACAGTACGTTGTTACTAATAGTGTCCGGCCAATGGATCTGAAGTATTTTGCGTAGACAACTGTTAATAAACACCTGTATTTTCTGGATGATGGCTTTTGTAGTTTTCCAGGTTTCTGCCCCATACAGTAGAACTGTCTTGACATTTGTATTGAAAATCCTGACCTTGGTGTTGGTTGACAGTTGCTTTGAGCTCCAGATGTTCTTCAGTTGTAAATATGCTGTTCTTGCTTTGCCGATGCGCGCCTTCACATCTGCATCAGATCCACCCTGTTCATCAATGATGCTGCCCAAATATGTAAAGGTTTTTACATCTTCCAAATCTTCTCCGTCAATTGTGATTGGATTGGTGCATGCTGTGTTGTATCGGAGAATCCTGCTTTTCCCTTTGTGTATATTGAGACCTATTGGTGCTGAGGCTGCTGCCACACTGTTTGTCTTCTCCTGCATCTGTTGTTGCGTTTGGGATAGAAGGGCTAGATCGTCTGCGAAGTCTAGATCATCCAACTGCATCTTAGATGTCCATTGTATCCCGTGCTTCCCTTCAGACGTTGACGTCTTCATGATCCAGTCGATCACCAGGAGAAAGAGAAAGGGTGAGAGTAAACAACCTTGCCTAACACCGGTCTTCACTTCGAACGACGTTGTCAACTGTCCTCCATGCACAATTTTGCAGTGTAATCCATCATATGAGTTCTGTATGATATTGACTATCTTCTGAGGCACGCCGTAGTGTCGAAGAAGTTTCCATAGTGTTGTTCTGTCCACACTGTCAAATGCCTTTTCGTAGTCAATGAAGTTGATGTAGAGTGATGAATTCCATTCAATTGATTGTCCCACAATGATCCGTAGAGTTGCGATTTGGTCTGTACACGATCTATCCTTACGGAATCCTGCCTGTTGGTCACGAAGTTGGGCGTCTACGCAGTCCTTCATCCTGTTTAACAATACCCTGTTGAAGACTTTTCCCGGTATTGAGAGAAGAGTGATGCCCCTGTAGTTATCACACTTGCTGAGATCGCCTTTCTTCGGTATTTTGATTAGAAGTCCTTCTTTCCAGTCTGTTGGTACTTGTTCCTCATCCCAAATCTTATTGAAGAGAATGTGGAGTATCCTTGCAGTTGCCGCTACGTCTGCTTTTAGTGCCTCTGCTGTGATGTTGTCCGGTCCTGCTGCTTTGCCACTCTTGGTTTGTCTGATGGCCATGATGATTTCTTCAATTGTTGGTGGGCCAACATTGACTGGGAGGTCCGTGGGTGCTGCTTCGATGTTGGGTGGGTTCAGTGGAGCTGGTCGATTCAAGAGTTCTTTGAAGTGTTCTACCCACCTGTTTTGTTGCTCTTCAATGTTGGTGATTACCTTGCCTTCCTTGCTTTTCACTGGTCGTTCTGGTTTGCGGCGATTTCCAGAGAGTTTCTTTGTCGTGTCATACAATTGTCTCATGTTTCCTTCTCTTGAAGCCTTTTCCGCCGTCGTTGCTAAATCTTCCACATATTTACGTTTGTCGGTTCTGATGCTCCTTTTCACTTGTTTGTTTATTTCCGTGTATTCAGCTTGTGCCTTGGCTTTTTCTGCTCTTGTTCGGTTGGTATTGATCGCTGCCTTCTTGTTTCTTCTTTCTTGAATCTTATCCAGTGTATCAACAGTGATCCATTCCTTGTGGTGGTGCTTCTTGTGACCCAGGACCTCATGACATGTTGAAGTGATTGCCTCTTTGATCCCCTTCCAGTTGCTCTCCACAGTAGTTCCTTCTCCATTGAGTAGATCATGAAACGCCTGGAACTTGTTGCTGAGGACTATCTTGAATTCGTTGAGTTTGTTAGTATCCTGAAGAAAGGCCGTATTGAACTTTTGTGATATTGTCCGCCCCGTTGTGCAGTGCTTCTTGAGTTTCAATTTCATCTTGGCGACCAGTAAGTGATGATCTGATGCTATATCAGCTCCTCTCTTGGTTCTCACGTCCTCTATAGTCCTCCTGAACGTTTTGTTGATGCAAATATGGTCTATTTGGTTTTGTGTAGAGTGATCCGGTGAAGTCCGTGTGGTTTTGTGTATGCGTTTATGTGGGAATATGGTGCCGCCTATGACCAGCTTATTGAAGGCACATAGATTTGCAAATCTCTCACCATTTTCGTTTCTTTCTCCCAGTCCGTGTCGTCCCATGATGTCTTCATATCCAGTGTTGTCCGTTCCAACCTTGGCATTGAAATCTCCCATCAGAATGGTCAGGTCTTTTGTTGGGCACTTCTCGACGATTGACTGCAGCCTATTGTAGAATTGATCTTTAGCCTCTTCATTGTAGTCGTTGAATTCAGTGGTGTTAATATGTAAAAGAAAGATTACATACATGGACATAGTACAGGACGAGAGAATCAGTTCGTAGAAAGAAAAATATGAAGCGATTTTAATCTCACGGTTTAAGGGAAGACAAAGAGTATACACCTACGCCATTGTGATCGATCCTGATCCATGTCACCCAGAGTCTCCAACCACTGATTACGATAGTCATCAATAGATGTAACCATAGTATAAAACTGCGAATATAGCTGAAGTAAAAATTCTGAATTTATTAAATAAATAAGGTTTGTTTGGGCTCACCTCTTCTCTAAATGTGTACTAGCTTATTTAGCGTTAAAATAGTAGTTGTATTACACGGACAGACAAGATAGTCAAGTCACTTTCTAATCCTCTTTTCTCACGAGTGGACAAAGTGTACGGAAGCAAAAGTTCACTGTTTTCTCGTTTTGTTAACACCAAACGGTCTAGTGTAGAGAGAATTTTAAGTCTACTCATAGTATTGTGTTCTGTCTATTTTTATTATTGTGTCGCGTAGACGGGTGTAGAAAGTTTTACTTTGTTCTTGTGTTTTATTGTAATTTATTATAATTTTCTTAACTATGAGTGTACATTTTTCTCTTTAGGTAGGTCATGGCGGTTGGATTCGTCAGTTTTTGAGGCTTTTAGCCTTTCATTCAATGTACAGACAGAATTTCCCAAAGCAATGTGTCAACTCGGTAATGAACAACTGCGGAATATGCCAAGTAGGCGTGGCTTTTGATATTTGCAGTCTTGAAGCTTATCAAAAGTGTCCACAATATGAACGTGGAGTTTCTATGTCCCCTCTTCCTGTTTTCGGTAATATTATGACTCACAGTGAGACATCTAGTGTGAAGAAATCCATTCAGTGTTCCTATATTCATTTAGCTAATCCTAGTTTACCTATTATGACGGTCTGTTACCAATTCAATGCTACAAAATCATTACTTGAAAAGCATGAACGTTTACAGCGTGAGCCTCATTATCCAACAATTCCTACTGATGAAAGATGTTTACAAGAAGAAAGAATACCTCAAGATGATGGAGATGAGTATGCTGGATATCCACTAAACAAATAGACAAATTCAAATCACAAATATGTAGATATTTTAGTTATTTTGTAGCAAAAAAGTAAATTTTTAATGGCTTAGTAATTTAACTAATGTCTGGTTGCTACCCTGTAACTGTCGGTTGAATCGCTCTTACAACTCGTTGATTATTCATTTGTCACAAGCGAAAAATTTCTGTACATTTCGAGAAATCAAAATTCACTAAGAATATATTTTTCAAGATTAGTTTTGATTTTTCCGGAACTCCGTACATTTTCTAAGTTCTAAAACTTTAGTTGAATGTGTTAACTTTAAACAACTGAATAGTTCTTGTTATTTTATTCTACCTTGAACACATCCTGCTCAGATTTCGTCGAATATGAGTTTTTAATCCTTTATTTTCATATTCACAGTTATGGCGACTAGTTGTTAAAAGCTATAATTCTACATCGTTAAATCAAATCAGTGTCACTCACTGCAGCTTTAATTAAAAAAGAATCGTGTGCTATATTCTATCATTTAAGGTTATAATTGTGGTTTTTGTCGCTTATCATTTCCCTTTATCTGACTCGAATTTGATCGTATGATGATGGTAAAGAAATAGATATCCCGCCTGCCCTCGTATATATTTATCGACTTCATTCACGTTAGTGATTAACAGTAAAGATTAAATCGAATGCGAGATTGGTTTTTTGATATGTATATTTCATACACTCGTCACCACAAACAGACGATAAGAGAAAGGAAGCCGAAACGGTAGTCGTATAAACTCAATTTGGTAAGGCGTGACTCACTATTTATGTTCAGACATGAAAATAAACTAAAGAGATGTGATGAATAGGGTAAGTGGTAAACACATACACAAACTCAAAAAACAAATAAGGATATGGGGGAGTGATTGACACGGTCAAGATCAATGTTGGTACCGACTCAAAAAGGGTGGATTAATTGTTCTATCCACAATCCAGAGTAACGTAAGCATGACACAGTGCTGGACACTACATGCTATCTGTGATTTTGGGTCTTTTATAGGGACTGTTTAAATGTGGACTATTGACCGTTGTGGCACTAACTTCAGAGGTTTGCTACATCTTAATGTTCTGAATCGAAATCGCCTTCTAGTGGCAAGTAGGGGATATTCTAATAGTTTAGTGAATATTCTTGTATACTTAATATTCAAAGTATGGTCACCCAAAACATCTCAAACTCTATCAATACTATGAAGTCACATATAGATCCAAGTTTCCAAAATTGTTAGAAATAATGTATTCATTACTTTTAATGCTGAGAAAATAACCATATTTTCAAAAATATCTCTTAGCATATTTCTCGTTCACGTTCTACTCTACTTATTCTTTGTGTTAATAGGATGTGTTTAGTAACTAAAATACGTTAGGACTATTGGTATCTTTAGTTTTAAATGGGAGGGACCGATTTGAAGAGAAACGAGCTTACTTAAACGATGACAATAAATACTCTTGTGATATCTCAGTTAGTAGAAATCTGCATTCCTGGCGTCTCGTGACTCATTGTCACTCACTTCTTCAGAGTAAGCAAATAGATAATGGAAACAAAATAACGTGTTTAAATAGTACGAAGGAAACAAAGCAGAATTGTAGGTATCATTATCAGGGTTTGATGTGATAATTTCGAATAAATTGAGGATTGGGTAGATTGTTATAACATTTAAATGCAGAGTAGTTTTAGCACAATCATAATAGGTTTGAATATAACAATGTAGTGTTATTTTTCGTCAACGTGATTCTGTATGAGACATCACTGTCTCCATCTGTGTCCATCATGGTGGCTGTGAAAAATGTATAATTTGTAGTATGAAGTGGTGAAGTTAAAATTTGAGTGTGTGCATAGATTGTGGGAATAAAGTGAAATGCGGTTGTTTGGGGAAACGGTCAAAGTTGAATGAATATTCAGGCCTTACCTGTTGATGGCAGAGGGATTTAGCATTATGTGAGACCCTTCGGTTACCCGCTCTTTTTATATTTGGAAAAGTTTTTATGAATTATTTTGAGATTTTTAGTATTGAAAATAACATATACTGCTATTCCCGGTTTTAGTTGTAGATTTTCCGATTCTACAGGATTATTAGGACTTTTTGTGTAACTTAAGTGTTCCTTGGCATGAGTCGAGATTCTTCAATGTAAAACGTATCACAATCGACATAAACTAATCTGTAGACGGGATTTTGCGTAAATGTAAACGCGACCTTTAGTTCTAACCAAAGCGTTTCGTAGTATTGGTTGTTTTATAGAAAGGTTTAATTTCGTATGTTCTTAAGATCTGTTGTTGTTCATATAAAGTTCTTGTGGAGGTGAACAGCGTTGAATTCAAGCAGCTTGAAATATTTCATGATTGAACTGATGCTTAGTAAATATTTACTGGAGAATATTGTTATTCTCTAGCAAACAACCAATAATGTCTAGACATCTATCATTTGGAATACTAGTGTATAAAAGTACATCACTGATTAACAGTTTCGTCCTCGTAGAAATTAAACGATGGTTTGTAGGCATTCAGAGAGTGAAAAAGCATCTGCATCGGTTATGTGTGCCCTGCTAATTTGTAAAAGTACATGTTATAATAGAAGTTGGCTACAGTGTTACAAGCGACTAGCCGGTAGTAGTGATCTTTATACAAGGATTTGTGCTTAACACGTGGATGACTGACTCGTAAACAACTAGCCGGGTTCCTTTCAAATCGTGGATGTACTGGTCACGTCACTACCCCTCTCAATGGTTCCATCGATGGCATTTTGTAGGTATCTCTGAAAGGTGTAAAGATATAACCCACTTGCCACGTACATAACTATGTTCTTGGCTTTGGGCATAGTTTGCGTGAGGACTGACAATATTAACCAGATACCCAACACGAAGTGGGTAGCGAGGGTCTGGGACCTGTGACATATTGTTTGTAAGCAGATTCCTTTAAACACAAGGTTTCAGCTTGTCGAGGAAATGTGAGGGAGTGGGTCTAAATTATGGAGAGAAACCTTTTAACCTCGAATAAACAATTATTCTTATTGTTTGATTACATAAAAATCACTCAGATGCACACAAAGCTAACATGTATTTTGGCACACTATCAAGCGGAAGATTTCTACAAATTTTGGAGGAACATATATCTGCATATGCCCTTTGAAGCGAGGCGTTATAGTCAGTTGAGTTTGTATATTGTTATTTGTGTATGCCAGATAATATAACAGACTACTCATATTCGCCTAGCGAAAGTTAGGGATTATAACATGATGCAACGGTGACGATACTCCAGCTGAATTTCAATGCACTATGCCACGACAGGGAGTTATATTTTAAATTCTCGAGTGGATACAGAACAACCCATCCTGGTTCGATACGAACCTAAAGACTTGGAGAGTAGAGTCAATTTAGTTTCATGTGCTACGCTACAAACGGCTGTACTGACACTTCTTTCCCAGTAGAATCCAATCCCGATAAGTCCGGAAAATCACGTAGATAGGACGAATGCAACCTGACTAAAAGCCCAACCTCTGAATCGCAAGGAAATGGAGGGAGGAACCACTAGTAGTTATTTATTGTGATCAAATGAAAAGACGTCAAATAAACCGCAGCAGCTACAACCGCCATCAAGAAGTTCGAATTGTGGGTGGTATAGGTTGTTTGAGGATTCTAGCAACTACGGTAAAGAAGAGAAAAGGACTAACTCAAACCATTATGGGTGGTGTTTTGGAACGAACATCTCTGGACAGGGTGCTGACTTCTCCAAACAAGTTTTGTCCGACGTAAAGAACTAACAACAGTTCCCATACTTTATGTTAACATGTTTAATTCCCTAACGATTCCAAATACAGTTACTGCCAACGAGAAATTTATGTACCTGATCATGATGTATGAAACGAAAGACATGATTCGAAAACATACCGACGAATTTACAGACTCATGCTTAGAAATTGTAGGCGATTAACGATCATAAGTGTCATATGCATCCCAACATTTAGACAGCAGTTAGATGCCGTATCCTAGCAGACTAGATTGTCAATCAGCTTGTAAAAGAATATTTACCACTGAATACTTTAGACATCCACATCTCACGAAGTTAGGGAACTGACTTGGACAGAAATCAACAAAGAAACATTTGTATCTTCAAACATGCCAACATTACCCGACAACTTTTAAAAAGAGAACTGCCAAGGGAGCTAATTGATTAAATTCAGGCGAACAGTTTACATCACCATCTTTTGGTATAATTTCCACGTTCAGCACTGAAATACTTAAAAAGAACTTAACTAATAAGTGTTACTTAGGAATAGAACAAATGACAGGTCTAACAACAGACATAAACTGTTGGTGATGATTGTGATCCAGTTCTATTATGTTCTTGTTATGGATTTCACCGCATCTAAAAAAATACCTAGTAGATAGTTGCAATTTCAAAGTATGAGTAGGTTCAAAATTGTATAGACAAGCCCATCAGGGCATGAAACAGAATAACAACTATGTTGAAGCATAAGATTTGTCTTGTATTTACACTTATATGGTTATCTTATATCTTGCAATGAAATATAGAAAGTTACAAGTTGGGGTTTCGAAAAGACTCGGCCTGCTTTTTAACTCGTGTATCGTATTCCTTTCTGTTTTGTATATATAACGTATAGGCATCAGCTTGAGCAGGATCTTTAGGATTTGGATGATCTAATAAATCTTGAATACCTAAGAGAATCTTAGAGTATGTTAAAAAGGAGTTTTTCAGATACCTGTTTGATTGTAACTGCTGGTCTCCAGTGCTTTTCTTCATCCAAGAGGGAAAGACATACGGTACCAGACGGAAATACATTGGGATGGAACAATGGTGGCTCAAACTTGCATTTGGGTGGTGTTGTTGGATATTCTGGCTTGAAATACATTCTAAGACTGAACAATCCTCCCTCCCACAATGTCTGAATAGTTTTAGAAATAATATAACATGAATCTTACGCCTTTTTTTCCAGGTATACTACAATTCCAAGTCATCAGGTCTAACGAGCCATCAGGGTTCTTCATAGGCTTGGCTACAAAACCCTTAAGGCATGATATAATTAGTTAGTTAACATACAAAGGGATGATCCTTTCGCCATGCTTTCCGTTCTTCTGCTAAGCGTTTCAGGGCGATACCCTCTGCCTCAACATAGTCCCCCATATCGTATAACTAGAATTCAATTATAGAGCGTCAGTTGAAACGGGTAAAACAATTTCGAATATACTTTAGCCGCCTTTTAAGGTTATTTTCCAGCCGCGTTCAAGGTCTGCTAATGTGATTTTTATTTTAGTTTTATTAAAAAATATCTTCATATTTGAAATGCATATGCTTGGAGCATCGTAGTTCGGGAATTTTATTGTAAGTACAGGAACCATGAGATTTTATAGTATCTTCAAGATATAAACATTTGCTTAACTATCAGTCAATTTTAAGATCAGATAGTAGACAAAAGCAAACGTTTTCTAACAAAATGTTTTAAACGCTGTTTACTCTGCAGGTAAAGCTGTGTCTTAGTGTGATATGGATCGTCACTGTTATATAATGCCAACCTTTTGTGTCATTAACTTATTATAGAGTAGTCGGACGAAAATAAAATAAAAATCAGCATCAAAG